CAGTTGCCCAAGAGTTGGAAGTGGATGATGTTGACTGGCTGCCTTCCCTCTAGTCTATCACTGCTAAATCAGGGATGGAAAGTGTAGATAGCCCTCAAGTAGCTTTGTGCAAATTCAAAGCAAACCAGTTGGGTGGTGGTGGAGAAGCTGAGATTTTAAATATTTAAAACTCACAAGCTTTACTACACGATTAGCTTTACTAACAAATCATAAATTCCGAAACTAATGTACGTCAAGCCTACAATTATAGCTGGAGTGAATTACAAGAATCCTTCATTAACCAATCGATAACTAACACACTTACTGACTCGCTGAATTATAAACGAACTAATTCTCACTGTCTAACTCACTAACTGATACTGAATTGATTAACTAATTCTAATTCACTCTGTGTGGCATTTCTATATTGTACTCCTTTTCTACTTACTACAGGAAGCTTCTAGATGTCGCATCATCATTGTGTCATGATAAGTTCCCTCTAGCAAACAAATATCTAAATTGAAATATTAAAACTGTGGCTTACAATAAGAGTAATACATTTATCAGAAACATTTATATTATTGTTACATCTCCGTTCGCTAATTAATTTTCCGTAAATTCGTTCCGACGAAACTTTAGCGACACAAATCCTTTCTTAATAAAACTGGTTTATTCTTTCTGAATATAACTTTACCGATACACTTATTTTCAACAGTCGCGCTATAACAACGAACGTGCTCAACTTCAACAATACTCTCTGACTGCAGTTCAATTACTCACTACACTGTTTCCCGTCACGTTGTGACTGTCTTATATATATACAAGACTAACACATTCTTGAAGGAACAGGATATTTCTAGAAAACGTGGCGTGACACTAGTCAATTGACCTCGCTGACGCAACATTATTTTATTTTACTTTTATTACCAAATATTTCTTATTGCTTATTGAACTGGGGTGTTCAATGTAAAAGTGTTGTAAATAAATTATATCAGACACAAAAAAGCTATTGGAATAACTAAAAGAAAAGAAAAAAAATAGAACACCCCTAACCAAATTTATGAAAGTTAACATTACCAATAATTACTAAGTGTTTACTTATATCACTATAGTCCTGTTTCTCTGTCCACTCCCAAGGGAAGAGGGTGTGGAGACGAGCTCATTTCAAGGGGTGAGACATATAATTGTTCTTTGGGTATCTGATGACATATTCAATTTTGGGTTATTACCACACTTGAACGCTTTAAATGGTTGGAAAAATGCGGTATACTATAATTTTGTCTATCGTTTTCCACTGTCAGTGTATAGAAAGTTTCTTTACTCGCAACCAGTAAGAGACAACGGAAAGTAATAAGTCAATTCATAGATAAAATACACTTCACTTTATTGTGAATTAAGATTTTTTGCATATCTTTCCACTTGAGTACTTTTTTCTTTACTACTCTATTTTAATTTACTCATTGCTTAACAGTCCTGAACATGTGTTTTTGTGGAAAGTGTTGGATTTTCTACTGGCCATCTGTGTACCTGAATGCCCCATTTATGTATTTATTTCTTATTTCAAAACGTATTATAACAAATATTTAAAATTCTGGGAACATATAAAGGATAGCATAATTATAAGATTTTGAACTGTATATGGACAAAGGAGTTAATTCCGATAGTCAGTTGTTTGCAGATTTGTGCCAGTTGTTGGATGAGATGAATATACATAGCTTCAGCTTATACTATTTAGGCACACTGGTAAGCTCATATATCTGCAAATTGCAAATTCCAGAAAATGTAAGCTAAAAATAAAATAAGCACGTGCAGCAAAGAAAAAAAAGCAATATGAAATGATTCTGTTCTCAAAGTGCTCCACAAGACATGTTTACTAATTTGCAGATTGCACTATCTTGCATGAAAATTGTAGTATCAATCACATTTAATTACTGCAGGATGGGAAGCAGATGCATTGCTAGCATTGCATGATACTCTGCATCATTGACTATGCAGGTTTTCAATCCACCTGCTGATGGTTCTTAAAAAAGTATGATCTAATAACAAAGTAAGCTGTCAAACCAGTTACATTAGCATCATGGTGGTGTGTATGGAATGTTACATGTGGATTAGCTTCCCTACATATAATGCAGTTGTGCATGTTGACACTTCCAGAAAGGGTCAAGGGTGCTTAATCAGACCATAAGATATTAGCAAACCATTGGTCACCAACTATAAGCCTTGCTAAAAACTGCAACACAAAATAAACACATTGAGTTAAATACATTTTCAGTGTTTGAACATGAAGCAGCTTATAAGGAAACATTTGCAAAATTGACTGAAGAGTCTTATGAACAATTGAAATTGGCAAATCCAGACACTGGGAGACATAATCTACACCGCTTCATTCACGTGCACTTATTCTAGCTTGTTGTGCTACAGCATGGCTGAACTCACTAATAGATTCAGTAGGTGGCTGTGGTCTGCCTGTGCCTAGCTTGTCATAAGTGAAACCTGTATTTTCAAACAAAAAAAATTATGAGCTTGCACGCAGCAACTCTGAAACAAGGCCCTCTGTATATTTTGTATATGCACTCTACGGTATTCTTTGAAAGTTGCCTCAGAACTGCATTCTGTCAGTAGTTCACCTTTCCATACGCTTTTCAGTTTCATGTTGGTTAAATGAGTTGCATTGTGATAGATAGGTTCATTTATACTCATGGGAGATAGGAAAAATTAAGAAGCCATGGTGTTGCCCACTGGCGGCAACATGTGACAACTGAGGCGTTTGCATTTACATGATACCTTTAAAACCCCTATGAAATTTCTAGTTTTATGTTTGTGAGATATGGTGCACAGAATTATGAAGTTTTCTGTGTAATCACAGTGTACAATACTGTTATGTCTCCGTTCGTTAATTAATTTTCAGTAAATTCTTTCCGACTAAACTTTAGCGACACAAGTCCTTTCTTAAATAAAACTGGTTTATTCTTTCTGAATATAACTTTACCGATACACTTATTTTCAACAGTCGCTCTATAACAAACGCTAGAACGTCTCACGTGCTCGTGCTCGACAATACTGTTATGTCTCCGTTTGTTAATTAATTTTCCGTAACTTCATTCCAACGAAACTTTAGCGACACAAGTCCTTACTTAATAAAACTGGTTTATTCTTTCTGAATATAACTTTACCGATACACTTATTTTCAACAATCGCTCTTTTACAAACGTTTTAACAACGAACGTTAACTTCAACAATGCTTCCTGACTGCAGTTCAATTACTCACTACCTACACACACATTATTCCCTCACACTATGAGCGTCTTATATATATACCAGACAAACTAGGGCATTCACGAAGGAACAAGATATTTCTAAAAAACGTGGCGTGACATTAGTCACGTGACCTCGCTGACGCAACAATACTTAGTTTAATTACACACTCTCCGACTGCAGTTCAATTACTCACTACACTGTTCCCGT